TCATGTCATGTTTCATTTTACTTTTCTTTTTTTCTTTTTTTTTTTTTTTCTTTTCTAACATTTAAGATGAACACAGAGGTTTTTTATCAATGTGGTCATATTTTCTTCCCAGGTCCGATACTCGTGCCTGTGGTATAGACAACGGACTACATCTAATATCTACATCTTTCTTTTTATCTTTCTAAAATCTTTTGGCATGTAATGTAACAAAACCATAAGCCATCCCGTCTTCCCTACCATACGCATCACCCCAACCCACACCCACCCCGTTTTATCTCCGTAAATATGTTCATTCGGACAAAGAGAAGGAAAATATTTAGCGGTATTCAACCGCAACCGCAAATTATCAAGCGTCTGTCAACAACAATAACAACAACAGCAAATACATATTTAACAACGCATGAAGTCTTCAAAGAAACTAGTATTACAGAGGCATGTTTCAGTCAATTTGCCCTCTCCATATCGAACTAAAAAATCCGGAAAAATTAACCGAGAAAGGTAATTATCTGGCACGATCACGAGTAGATCGGACCTGGGAAGAAAATACATTAGAGACTCTAGTATCCTGGTTTAGTCCTATAACTTAAGTCGTTTCCGTTAGTATCCTGGTTGTACTGTCTATCGGAAGTGTAAGCCTTATTAGGCCCACCATCATATAATACAGAAAAAATCTAGGATAAAATAGTTATTTTCTGTAAAAGGTACAGTTGTTTAGGCAGTAGCGGATTTTAGGGTATAGCGGATAACATGGCAGTAACAATGCTCCTTTCCATCAAATATGCCTTTTTCAAAATAATACCATCCAAAAGAGTGATATATTTGCCATCCGTCGCTAATTTTGTTTTATTTATTTCAAATTGCACAGCGAGTTTTTCTTACATAAATCAGAACGAGGTAACCGGATGTTGTCACCGTCAGACTGTTTATAAGCGCTTCCAAAAGAAATAAACAGAAAACTACTGATTAACACCAAGTAAAGTAATGAAATATTGACATGATTTGGTGTAAAAATCATTTGTTTATAATTTTGCAAAAGCTTTTACAGATATAACGCGTACTGACACTAAAAATTATTGAAAATGAATAGCAAGTGCTTCTGTCAGTAACGGATTTTACATTTGGGGGTGGTCTCAAAATTTATTTTATCTGTCAAAACGCCGTCAAAAGTGGATTAAAAGTACACTTTTAACAAAAAAATATCCAAGTTTTAATGGTATAATATTATTTATTCTATCTTTTTATAATTCTAACTCAGTTGTATTGATACTTTGAATATACCATCATTATTAACTCTTCTTTCAACTAGATTATAAGATTAATAATAGCTTTAATGTAAAACAGACCTCTTTTGAATGAAATTTGTTGTTTCATTTTTCATACTTAATACACATGCTCAGCTCAAGTTTATTGCAAAATTTTTGTAATTTATGTATTCAGAATATATAGTTTACTTTTTAATTCATCTATACAGATCTTAGGAAATATTGTTTTTATTTGTTAAATTGCAACATATTATATAGTTATCATTGCTTGTATACTGTGATGTTACAAAATAAATAAATAATTTTTAAATAAATAAAGCTATTTACAAGTAAATAAATATATAAATAAATATCTGGTCAACAACTTATGATGCAACTGTGACATGTAATAGTTTGAACATAACTATAGTTTACCATAGTTATTTCTTTAAAAAAATCTATAATTATATTACCCATAGTTTTATATCATAATTTTTTTATCATTTTTTTTATATTCATTTTAAAAATCCAATGATGGGTAAACCCTGTAAGAAGAAACCATCAAATGAAAGTCCATGTGTAAAAAGTGCCATAGGTACCAAGAAGAAGTACTTCTCTACTTTTCTACTAATTTTTAGAAAGTATGTACATTTTGTAAAAGATTATATGTTCCTATTGATACATATATAAAAATATCTAATACATGTAGTATGTAATTCAAAATTATAGCTGGTCACTGAACCACAGACTAGGTTAATTATCGACAGAGAATACACTAATATTTAAGACATTGATGTCCAAGTGTTGATGTCAGAATTAACATCATTTGACAAACATTTATACACTTTGATTACAGATAAACGAAGAAACTTAATGTTGTCTGATATTGCAGGGCTACCTATTGGCCATGCACCAAAGATTTTAGCAAGTTGCTTTAGAAATGTACTTGAAAGTTGTGGAAAAATCAGTCTTTGTCACTGCAACAGGTGGACCAGTTCCCAGTTTTCCACATTGGACAATTTCAAATAAAAAAAAGATGGTGGCAATGTTATACCCTGTTTTTTAAACACTTATTGTTGATAATTTGGATGACACTGTTCATATGTTAGCTGACACACTTCCCATTATGTCAGAAGGAAGTGTCATGGACATAAAACTCCAGATGTTTGATATTATTCTGTTTGATTTGTCTGTGATTTGTTTTAAGAGAAAATGCCAATCATTGATCTGAATAAACATTGTTGTAAAATCATGTGCCATATAATATATATCCTTGGTTTACATGTAGAAAAATTTGAAAGATTACTATCAAATGTAACATTTTTTATTCCAGTAACTCCAAAACATGTTTCTGTGACATGTACTTTGTAAATACTAAATTTAGAACGTTTTGAGACTCCCCCTCATTGACCTTCACCTATCCCATACTCCCCAAAGCTATCTGCTACTAACTGAACTATATGCCGAACATAAACAAAGAGTACTACATGTAATGTCAAAGATACTGCTAAAAAGTATTTTATTTTAAAAAGGGAAGTAGTTTGACTACTGAAAGGTATCAATTTGATTTTCTGAATATTATTATTTAAGACATAAGCAGCGCCGATCTCCTTAGCTATCCGCTACTGCCTAAACAACTGTACCATTTTTTGACAAAAATAACAATCATCCAAAAGAAATTTTCACTGCACATGCACACAGTAAAAGGGTAACAATTTGATAAGCATTGCACACACACATTCAAAATATCATGTTGGGTCAAAATCGTTAGGAATATTACTGGTTTTTACACTTATTACACAGTTATGTGAATAGGGTTATTAAAACTTTGAATTTTCTTCAAATAATGCTATATTTTGTATGAAATTAATGTGAAAAACACTTGCATACAAAAGAAATTTTTTATGTAGGTATTGTTTGTAATATCTGGACATTCCCGGTACAAAGTACCTCCCGGTATAAAGTACCACATTTTAAGTTTGTTAATAAATAGCTCTAAATATATTTATATCCTAAGTTGAATTAATTTAACGTTCATGACATACAATAAAGAATAAAAACTTAACATTTAATCGTCTTTCATTACGACAATAATCAACACAAATTTATATAGTTTATTAGTTTTCCCTCTATATCAAATACGATCCCGGGCGTCCCGGATCCCGGGATTTTTCCACCACCGTCTAAATATTATATTTTCATCAGCAAATATATGCAGCAGAGTATTTCAAACAGAACCTGCATCAATTTAAATTGTTTAGATTATAGATAGAAACACAAATTTATAAAAATTACATCTTCTTAATTATAATTATAAAATAAATAAATAGCATAATTTCAAATGTCATTCTTCTTCATTTTATTTATAGACAGTAAGTTCTGGTATTGGGTATTTATAAATTGTGAGACAAACACACTATTTATATACTTATTAAGTTTTTGTCTACCCACTGAGCTCGATAGGGATAGGTATGGACTTGTAATCCAAGGGTCTCTGGGTTCAATCCATGGGCAAGGGGAAATTTTTGCTGTGACCATTTTGGACACAGATTGCAATGAACTAGCAGCCCTTGGATTACTGAGCTTAGGTAACACACTAGATGTTTAAATAATTTTACATATTGTTATTGATCTTTGTAATGTAAAGAAAGTATAGAGCTATAAAAAAAATATATATTGTGCTTGAAGTACGTTCAGCGCGGATTTTGCCTTTTCCGGATAATACTGCAGATGATTTTTTGTCTAGACTAATTACCCTGCAATCCAAGATCAGTGAAAGCAGTTTTGAGAAAGCAAATTCATTTCATACAAATGTATTATAATTGTCAAAAATTATGTCCCCTTTATAATTGTCATAAATTAATGATTGTTATATGGTAAAGGAGCTCCACTGAGGTTAAAAGGGGTAAAAACAGAAAATTGGAAATTCTTTCAAATATCAAGTGAAGCAGTTAAAATGGTAAAATCTGCACAGGATGAGAGAGACATATATTCCGAAATAAATTGAATATCGATTGTTTGTGTGAGTCTTAGCCTGATTTGAGTGAAAAGTGTTGGAATGCATTTCTCTTTTCAGTCCTTTTGCACAATAAAAGTGATTTAATATTGTAAAAAAAAACAGAGTGAGGTATTTAAATCTGAAAATTTGCACACATTAGTTATTGATTGTACACAAATCAAAAAAAATTTTTTTCCAGTCATGTCATGTCAAAAAACCTCAGTGGAGTCCCTTTAAGTGAATTGTTCAAATAGAAAAACAATACTTATCCTAAATATATGGTGAATTGTCATACATTTGTATTATTGTTATAATTTAATTTTCTACAGAATTTATTCCTCGAAGTGGTCATAGAATTGTTGTAGATGAGAAAAACGTGTACAGTTGGGGAGGATATAACTATGATCCTGACTTATGGGACTTGGATGATGAAGATCATACATACCCATTGCTCAAAGAGGTTTATTTATTACACTTATTACAATGATACATGTACACAGTGCATTACAGAGGTGTATATAATAGTTTCCATTCTGATTTTTTGAAAGTTAAAAAAAATATCATTGGAATTATTTTGCTTTATATTAATTGTCAACAGGCAATTTTGCATCAGTTTATAATGTTATGTGGAAACTGTATTTTATATTTTATAACAAATTATGTAAATGGTTTGTATTATTATTTTCAACAGTTGTGGAGGTATCAAATTTGGACTGGAGAGTGGAAGTTGTTGAAGACACATGGAGACATACCAACACAGTTGGCATCCCACCATCGTATGTAAATATTGACCCATAACTTGCTAGAACCAAACTTTTGCCCCCAGTATAGAGTTAGGCCAGCCTGCATTTCCATGCTTTCTGACCAAGCTGTATCCTTTTGGCTGACCAACCTTAAATTTTTATCTCGATATCCCCCAAATTGATCATAATGGAAAGTTTCAGAAATTGTAAGAAATTCAAAAGGTTATTGGTTAAGAATAAATAAAGTATTATTATTATTTTGCAGTATAATTGGCTTGAAATCACTGTACTGCCGTTTGTTGATTAAATTTTTTATGCCCCCAGGCATATAGTAATTGAACCGTCCGTCCGTCTGTCCGTACGAGGTTAACCTAGAGCGGCAAGTTGGATTTTTCTTAAGCTCTACCTGTACCAATGGCTTTTTAGTTTACACACTTACTAATCAATAAAAAGTACATGATCTGGTCAAGTTACATAACTATGGCTTCCATATTTACCAAGTTATTGCCCTTTTCAGCACTTAGAAAATAAATAATGGTTAACCTAAAACGGCAAGTTGGAAATATCTTAAGTTCTGTCTATACTAATGGCTTCATAATTTCCACACTTACTTATCAATACAAAGTACATGATATTGCCAAGTTATATAATGTGTCATCCATATTTCCCAGTTATTTCCCTTTTTTCACTTTGAAAATAGGGCCTTGTCTGGTTAACCTATTCCGGCAAGTTGGATTTATCGTAAATTTCTCTTAGTTGCTTAATTTATTTAATGATATCTTGCATATTTGGTAGGTGGATACCTTTAATGGTCCTCTAATTTTTTGTGGAGTAAGTGGTCTCTAGGGTCAAGGTCTAGGTCACTGGTTTAGAAAATGAATTTAAACATTTTTGCTCATACAGCCTTTATTTTTTGGTTGATGTCTTTCATGTTTAATACAAACATGCCAAGGGAGGTCCTCCTTCTTTGGGTATAGTAAGGCGTCATTTGGGTCAAGGAAGGTCAATGTCACCAATGTCAAGGTCACCAATGTTAAAAATAGATTTTTTACATTTTTACAGGTGTATTAACCATATTCTATAGACAGATGACATTTATAATTGATAGGAACATAAAATTTGATGGAGTAAGTGGTCAGTTAGGTCAAGGTCACCAGTGCTAGAAATAGATTTTTACACTTTTGATCATACAGCCTTTATTTATTGACAGATATATTTCATATTTGGTAGGAAGATAACTTGCACGGTATTCATCCTTTTGATTGATATAGGGATCAGTGGGTCAAGGTCACTTGTGCTAAAACTAGATTTTTACACTTTTGCCCATACAGGCTTTATTTATTGACAGGTGTATTTCATATTTGATAGGAAGATAACTTGCATGGTATTCTTCCTTTTGATTGAGTTAGGGATCATTGTATCAAGGTCACTAGTGCTAAAAATAGATTTTTACACTTTTGCCAATACAGCCTTTATTTATTGACAGATATATTTCATATTTGGTTGGAAGATAACTTGCATGGTATTCTTCCTTTGGATGGAGTTAGGGGTCAGTTTGGTAAAGGTCATCAATGCTCAAAATAGATTTTAACATTTTTGCCCATACAGCCTTTATTTATTGACAGGTGTATTTCATATTTGATAGGAAGATAACATGCATGACTGTTATTCTTACTTTGGATGGATTTAGGGGTCAGTTGGGTCAAGGTCACCAGTGCTAAAAATTGATTTTTACACTTTTGCCCATACAGCCTTTATTTATTGACAGATTTATTTCATATTTGGTTGGAAGATAACTTGCATGGTATTCTTCCTTTGGATGGAGTTAGGGGTCAGTTTGGTAAAGGTCACCAATGCTCAAAATAGATTTTAACATTTTTGCCCATACAGCCTTTATTTATTGACAGGTGTATTTCATATTTGGTAGGAAGAGGGGGCATTTGTGTTTAACAAACACGTTTTTGTTATGTTTATAATTTTTATGCCCCCGGGCATATAGTAATTGAACCGTCCGTCTGTCTGTCGGTACGAGGTTAACCTAGAACGGCAAGTTGGATTTTTCTTAAGTTCTACCTGTACTAATGGCTTTTTAGTTTACACACTTACTAATCAATACAAAGTACATGATCTGGGCAAGTTACATAACTATGGCTTCTATATTTACCAAGTTATTGCCCTTTTCAGCACTAAGAAAATGAATAATGGTTAACCTAAAACGGCAAGTTGGAAATATCTTAAGTTCTATCTATACTAATGGCTTCATAATTTCCACACTTACTTATCAATACAAAGTACATGATATTGCCAAGTTATATAACTGTGCCATCCATATTTCCCAGTTATTTCCCTTTTTTCACTTTGAAAATAGGGCCTTGTCTGGTTAACCTATTCCGGCAAGTTGGATTTATCGTAAATTTCTCTTAATTGCTTAATTAGTCCCCTACCGGTTTACCGGAGGGGACTTAAGGTTTACCCTCCGTCCGTCTGTCTGTCCGTCCGTCCGTCAGTCTGAGCAGACGAGCTACATTATGAGGTTTAGGTTTATGTACAGGCACTCTGTATGGGGTTCACTCCGTAGAGACATGTATTATGTGGTTAAAAATGCTCTTATGGGGTTAAAAAAATTTGCTCTTGTGGGGTTAAGAGATCAAAGGAATAACCCCACAAACACGTCTGCTAAGTACGTCCGTCTGTCCGTCCGTCAGTCCGTCCGTCCACAAAACTGGATCCCGCGATAACGCAAAAAGTACTGAAAATATTTTAATGAAACTTGATATATGGATAGATGGCAGTATGGAGATTATGCACGTCTTTTTCTTTTCTTCCTATGTTGAAAATTCTGGTTGCTATGGCAACAAATAGACTGAAAATATGGCAAATTTTACACATAACCTGGATCCCGCGATAACGCAAAAAGTACTGAAAATATTTTTATGAAACTTGATATATGGATAGATGGCAGTATGGAGATTATGCACGTCTTTTTTTTCTTCTTATGTTGAAAATTCTGGTTGCTATGGCAACAAATAGACTGAAAATATGGCAAATTTTACACATAACCTGGATCCAGCGATAACACAAAAAGTACTGAAAATATGTTTATGAAACTTGACATATGGGTAGATGGCAGTATGGAAATTATGCACATCCTTTTTTATCTTCCTATGTTGAAAATTCTGGTTGCTATGGCAACAAATAGACTGAATTTCAAGATTTCTGATTCTAGTTTTTAAGTTTTTTCACTATAAGTTCTTTATTTCTTAAGGTATTTTCTTCAAACTTTAAATATAAGTTGCTTGTCATCAACCACATCATATGTGACAAGGTTTACAACTCTAGCACAAAATTTATCAGAATTACCTCCCTTCAACTTAAAATTTTCATGAAAAAAACATTGTTTTTTTTTAATAACTTCTTTTTCTGAATGTATCTACTTCAAACTTCATATAAATGTTTCTTATTGTCACTCAACATTTGTGAGTGTTCAATACTCTAGCAAGACTATTTCCAGAATTATGCCCCTTTTGAACTTAGACTTTTTTTTGAGAAATTGGTAATTTTTACTCCAACTTCTTCAATCATGATAGGATTTTAAAAATGTTATATTTTGATAACAGGGATGTTTAAAAAATAACTTTAGAGTGTCCTTCAGTCCGTCTGTCTGTACATAAAAACTGTTTCCTGTGATCACTTTTAAAGAACTTTTTCAACAAATTTACTTAAAATAGGAACCTAAGTGAATGGCCAATGGCCCTTCAGAATGTTGCTTGGGCTCTTACCGGTAGGGGACTTATGGATTGCTTGCAATACTATGATAATTGCTTGTTTATTTAATGATATTTGCATATTTGGTAGGTGGATACCTTGAATGGTCCTCTAATTTTTTGTGGAGTAAGTGGTCTCTAGGGTCAAGGTCTAGGTCACTGGTTTAGAAAATGAATTTAAACATTTTTGCTCATACAGCCTTTAATTTTTGGTTGATGTCTTTCATGTTTAATACAAACATGCCAAGGGAGGTCCTCCTTCTTTGGGTATTGTTAGGGGTCATTTGAGTCAAGGTCAATGCCACCAATGTCAAGGTCACCAATGTTAATAATAGATTTTTACATTTTTACAGGTGTATTAACCATATTCTATAGACAGATGTCATTTATAATTGATAGTAACATACATAAAATTTGATGGAGTTAGTGGTCAGTTGGGTCAAGGTCACCAGTGCTAAAAATAGATTTATACACTTTTGCTCATACAGCCTTTATTTATTGACAGATATATTTCATATTTGGTAGGAAGATAACTTGCACGGTATTCATCCTTTTGATTGGGGTAGGGATCAGTGGGTCAAGGTCACTTGTGCTAAAAACTAGATTTTTACACTTTTGCCCATACAGGCTTTATTTATTGACAGGTTTATTTCATATTTGGTTGGAAGATAACTTGCATGGAATTCTATCTTTTGATTGAGTTAGGGATCAGTGTGTCAAGGTCACTGGTGCTAAAAATAGATTTTTACACTTTTGCCCATACAGCCTTTATTTATTGACAGATATATTTCATATTTGGTAGGAAGATAACTCACATGTTATTCTTACTTTGGATGGAGTTAGGGGTCAGTTGGGTCAAGGTCACAAGTGCTAAAAATTTTTAAACATTTTTGCATCAATCATCATCAAACTTGGTCAGGATGCTTGTCTAGGTGATAGCTTGGATAATTTCGAACATGGGTCATCTCCGATGAAAAAGTAGGTCACCAGAGCTAAAAATAGAAAAACCTTGTTAACACTCTAGCGGTCACATTTTTGCATCAATCATCATCAAACTTGGTCAGGATGCTTGTCTAGGTGATAGCTCGGATGAGTTCGAACATGGGTCATCTCGGATGAAAAAGTAGGTCACCGGAGCTAAAAATAGAAAAACCTTGTTAACACTCCAGCGGTCACATTTTTTCATTCACATTTAGTTGTTAACACTCTAGCGGTCGCATTTTTGCCTCAATCATCATCAAACTTGGTCAGGATGCTTATATAGTTGATAGCTCGGATGAGTTCGAACAAGGGTCATCTCGGATGAGAAACTAGGTCACAAGAGCTAAAAATAGAAAAACCTTGTTAACACTCTAGAGGTCACATTTTTGCCTCAATCATCATCAAACTTTGTCAGGATGTTTGTCTAGGTGATAGCTCGGATGAGTTCGAACATGGGTCATCTCGGATGAAAAAGTAGGTCACCGGAGCTAAAAATAGAAAAACCTTGTTAACACTCTAGCGGTCACATTTTTGCATCAATCATCATCAAACTTGGTCAGGATGCTTGTCTAGGTGATAGCTCAGATGAGTTCGAACATGGGTCATCTCGGATGAAAAACTAGGTCACCGGAGCTAAAAATAGAAAAACCTTGTTAACACTCCAGCGGTCACATTTTTGCCTCAATCATCATCAAACTTGGTCAGGATGCTTATCTAGTTGATAGCTCGGATGAGTTTGAACATGGGTCATCTCGGATGAAAAACTAGGTCACAAGAGCTAAAAATAGAAAAACCATGTTAACACTCTTGCGGTCACATTTTTGCGTCAATCATCATCAAACTTGGTCAAGATGCTTGTCCAGGTGATAGCTTGTATGAGTTTGAATATGGGTCATCCTGGATGAAAAAGTAGGTCACTGGAGCTAAAAATAGAAAAACCTTATTAACACTATAACAGTCACATTTTTGCCTCAATCATCATCAAACTTGGTCAGGATGCTTGTCTAGGCTAAAGCTCGGATGAGTTCGAACATGGGTCATCTCGGTTGAAAAAGTAGGTCACCGGAGCTAAAAATAGAAAAACCTTGTTAACACTCTAGCGGTCACATTTTTGACACAAGTGTCATCAAACTTGATCAGGATGCTTGTCTAGGTACTTGCTTGTATGAGTTCGAACATGGGTCATCTCGGATGAAAAACTAGGTCACAGGAGCTAAAAATAGAAAAACCTTGTTAACACTCTAGTGGTCACAATTTTGACTCAATTTACAACAAACTTGGTCAGGAAACTTGTCTAGGTCATTGCTGGGATTAAATCGAACATGGGTCATCTTGGATGAAAAACTAGGTCACACCGCCCAAATATGGAAAAACCTTGTTAACGTTCTAGTGGTCACATTTTCGACTCAATTATCATCAAACTTGGTCAGGATGCTTGTGTAGGTAATTGCTCGGATAAGTTTGAAATCGCATGTGAAACTGGGTCACCGGAGCTTAAAATAGAAAAATCTTGTTAGCAACTACTGTTTTGATCCAAGTATCCTGGAAATTGGTCTGAAAGTTTGTTTTGATGATTTCTAGGTCAAGTTTGAATATGTGTCACCTGGGTAAAAAACTAGGTCACACTGCTCAAATATGGATAATCCTTGTTAACACTGTAGTGGTCACATTTTTCACTCACCTGTCATGAGACTTGGTCAGGTAATTGTCGAGTTTGATGTGTCAGGTGAGCGATCTAGGGCCATCATGGCCCTCTTGTTTGTTTTTTGTTTTAAATGCTGGCAATAATTGGAATTAAAACAAATGATATTTTTTTCTGCTTTCAGTTGTAAAAGTCAAGAACCATTTGTTACAGTTTGGTGGAACAGGCGTCCCATTCGGGAGTGCCAATACAAACTGTTTGTATGACCTTGACCTTGACACATTAGAATGGAAAGTGCTTTTAAAACCAAAAAGTCCAGCAAATGATAATGATAATGATGATGATGATGATGAAGATGGCGATGAAGAAGAAGACAACGGTGTTCCAAGACCTAAATATGGACATGTATGATGATTTGTATACCTCTCTTATTTTTTTGCTTTGGATTATACTGTATCATAAAATTAACTTGTTTTATATATGTACTTGAAACTAAATTGTCTAGGTAATTCACTTTCTCTGTAGCAAAATAAATAATAAATGTAAGACTATGACAGTCAACATTGTGTAGAATTGTTTGACAACTATTGTTTTTAAATGTCAGTTCTGAATATCATGCTTAAGTGTGTACCATTAAGCTGTTGATGATGCTTATAGGAAACTGATCTGCTAGCCAATGAAATGTCAGTATTCTCCTAAGGTATTCACTCTTACTTGGAATAAATTTTAATGTACGAAGGTACCTCGACCGGCTTACTGCACCAGTTATATGGGAAAATTACAACATGAACTTGATAATGTTGATGTTATGTGATATTTTTCTTTAAAACAGGACTGGGTGCTTGATAAAATAGCTGGTTTAAACGGTTTGCGGGTATGCTGCATCAGTAGATTGTGAAATTGAAAATGTGACTTCCTGCATTTTGTGTCATTTTTACATTTTTAGACCATTTCTTTCTCTTATGCTTGAGAAAATGTATGTTCATTACCTAAATCGTTTCTTTTTTGTAATAGTTAGTAGAACCAACTGTTCTGTTGTGTCTCAAACAACATACCGGTACAGGTTTTTCAAGTCTTCCCCATCAAATGTGACTTAAAACCTAACCAAACAAAAAATTTTATTCGTAAGAAAATTTTTTAGTTTGCAAAGTAAACTTTTACATGTAGTTCCATTAATCCTTAATCTCATTTACATTTTAGTCACTGACACTGGTGGACAATTGTTTATATGTTATTGGCGGGACGTGTGGATATGTATATGATAGCAACATACACAAACTTGATCTGAAATTACTAACATGGGAGGAGATACCAGCAAATTCAAAGTATATTCCACAACCAAGGTACTTGGTATATTGGTCTTGTTTTTTGAGAATGAAAACCCTTATCCACCTAAATTTGTATAATGGAATTACCCAGCTTTGAATTTTTAGGAATTTTTAAAATTAATGATTTTCAATATCTATATACAAAAACTGACCTATTGACATAAGGTCAGTCTGCATGATTATGAAGGCTGGCAGCAAAGGTCAAAGATTAATAACACTTGGACCCAGCAGGTTTAGTGATCATATATTTTCATACACCCAAAGACCTCAGGGATGTATTATGATATGGCATTATCTGTCCGTTCAAATTTGATAATGGACAGTTTCAAAATTGTAAACTTGACAAGTCTGTTTAAGAAATTCAGCAGGATAAGAGTTAAAAAATTTTATTATTGTATTCTTAACAGAAAAAGTCATGTGAGTATTAATTGATGGTGTGTATTTTGTTGGTGTATTTACTATTATAAGTATTTGAATGGGGTGTATGATAGGTATTTGAATGGGGAAGTAAAAAGATTCAAGTAATTATTCACATATTGATGTGCAATCAGTGTCTATTCTAGGATTTGAAAAACAGGGGGGATTTTTCTCGAAAAGTGAGAATCTATTTTATTTACTGAATTTTTTCCTTCTTTCTCTATGTAAAATTTTCACCCTGCCTCTGACAAAATAGGGGGCAATTCTCAAAAATAGGAGTGAATCCCCCCATCGCCCCTCCTAGAATAGACACTGGCAATAAATCAATAAATGACTGATTTTGCAATATCTATCATCATATTTCTACTCTGTGACTTATGTAGTAAAATTGCATATTTTTACCTCTTCTTGGTAATTTACATGATTATGAAAGGTCTGTGGTAAAAAATAGGCATGTTTTTCTGTTTTATTATCCCCCGCCGCTGGAATCGGGAGGGGGATATAGTTTTGGCGTTGTCCGTCCATCCTTCCGTCCGTCCGAATTTCGTTTCCGGACTAGTTCTCTGCAACTACTGGCTGGAATTCAACGAAACTTTATGGAAATCATCAATATCAAAAGGAGATACGCATATCGTCGGCTTGTTCTGGTCCGACACTTTAACTCAGAGTTATGGCCCTTCATTAGTTATGCAGTATGCATTTAGAGTAAAAATCGTTTCCGTGCTACTTCTCTGCAACTACTGGCTGGAATTCAACGAAACTTTATGGGAACCTTCAATACCAAGAGAAGATGCGCACATCGTCGGCTTGTTCCGGTCCGACACTTTAACTCAGAGTTATGGCCCTTGATTAGGTATGCAGTATGCATATAGAGCAATTATAATTTCCGCGCTAGTTCTCTGCAACTACTGGCTGGAATTCAACGAAACTTTATGGGAACCTTCAATACCAAGAGGGGATGCGCATATCGTCCGCTTGTTACGGTCCGACACTTTAACTCAGAGTTATGGCCCTTGATTAGTTATGCAGTATGCATATTGAGTAAAAATTGTTTCCGTGCTACTTCTCTGCAACTACTGGCTGAAATTCAACGAAACTTTATGGGAACCTTCAATACCAAGAGAAGATGCGCATATCATTTGCCTTGTTGGGGTCAGACATTTTAACTCAAGAGTTATGGCCCTTGATCAGTTATGCAGTATGCATATTGAAAAATATTTGTTTCTGCGCTACTTCTCTGCAACTACTGGCTGGAATTCAATAAAACTTTATTGGAACCTTCAATACCAAGAGGAGATGGACATATCATCGCCTTGTTCGGGTCAGACATTTTAACTTAGAGTTATGGCCCTTGATAACATATGCAGTATACAACCAGAGCAATAATCGTTTCCGTGCTACATCTCTGTAACTACTGGCTGGAATTCAATAAAACTTTATGGGATACGAAGAGGAGATGTGCATATAGTCGCCTTGTTCCAGTCAGACACTTATAACTCAGATTTATGGCCCTTGATTAGTTATGCAGTATGCATACATCTCATTGGCATTTCCAGATATTACTATTTAACACAGAGTTATGGCTCTGTTATTGCCCTGAATATTTATCAAGTTCAAAGAATATTACTGTTTATGCCATGATAAATATATAAATAAAGCCTTATGTCTTCAGTTGTTGTGTTAGTAATAACCAGTACTCGGCGGGGGATATAAATTCAACGAATTTGCTTGTATTGATTTGGATTCGTAGATTACAATAAACACAATAAAAAAGTGTTTTTAAGGTGTCCTTTGATGAAAAAAAAACCATGATTTAAAAAGTCTTATTTTCCGTAACGTGATTGATAATTTCCGCCATCTTTCTAACTGATGACGTAGGAATATCTCTACCTTATTTTGTTAACCTTCATGTCAGTTATACTTATGTGTGAATATTTCTCGCTAATACACCAAAATATCAATTGTTCTGTGTCATTTAGCTTATTGTACAAGTTTTTGTTTATGTAAAAAAAAAAGATTTTCTTTTGACATTAAAGTGCTCTAAGTCAACGCGACAATAAACGCCGCCGATTTTTAAACACAACTAGCCATTCAATTTTTCAAATGGATCGTAAACAAACAAAGAAAGAGAGAAGTAAAACAGACAAAAAATCTTCAAGGCTCTAATGTATGTGACAAAATATGCAATTTACGGCGTTTATATAATTTGTTTACTTTCATAATATATGAACTATCCACTTTTAAATGATCAACATCCTCAATTTCGATAAATGAACAAACGTGTATTTTTTCTTTCTTTATTTTTTATCTTTCTAATCCTGTCTTTTTTTGTGTCTTTCTCACTGTGAAATATAATTATGTTGCTATGATAAAGCCCCACCATAAAGGGTAATAAAACTTAATTGATCTGTGTGAACAAGGATCTGACCTCCAGTCGTGTAATATGCTACATAATTTATGACCTGTGATGGTTATGTTTTTCACACATTCAAGTGGTGTCAACATACTCTAAGGGGGCAATCAGACCTGCCAGTCATTTATATTGCAATCCAATCTAGTTATTATCCGAAGGTAATTAGAAAATTAGAACTGCACTGACCACACCCCGCTCAAATTTGTTGCATTAATGGCTGTCATACGGTCAATGAAATATAAGGTTATCATCTGATCAAGAACATAATATTTCAGATCTTTTCTAATGTTAATTCATTAATATTACCAATGTCAAGTTAATCTGATACAATTTAAGGCCTAATATGATGAAAACCGAGAGTACAAGTACTTACAAACATGTACATGATAACGACTAAAACAGAGAGCACTGACACTTCTAAAAAAGTGGTATGTTTGATAAATCAAAGGAAGCGGTTATTGTTTTAAATATATATTCTTGTTGAAATAAAGTAATATTTTTATGTTGGATATTTAAACATGTAAGTAGTGATTATTTTTAGATAAATTAACTCACTTTATAAGTTGAACACCATACAAGGGCTAGGATCGTCAAGTTCGTAGTCGTTTTTGGAGGTAAAAAGTGATTTGTTGGTGACTGTTGAGTGTTGTTCAAACATATAATGCTGAACTACAAATGGATCGCCATCAATGTTTTTTTATATAGTTCATACACAATATGTAAGTACGTAAATTCAAATCATATTAACAGAAACACGGCTAAATATGGTTCTCATGAACTGTCTACAATATACATAGGGATATATGTACGTTTATTCCGGTTTGAGATTGCACATGCATAACGATTAGCAATTCTTACATCTGTGCGATATCAGACTTAATATTACCAATGATTTAATGCTTGAAAATAAACTTTAATCTGGAGACATGCTGCTTTAACCTTGATACTGTAAATGGTAAATAAATGTAGAAGGATTAAGTCAATGATATTCATCAAAATTTGGATATTTAGTCAGCACTTCACCTGTAATATAATGTCTTTGTAAGATCAACGTGTGACCATATTGAAATGAAAAATGTGGAAAATACAGACTTGCATGTATAATAAGAAAAACTCTGCTATACCCTTCTAAAAGTACATGTATAAAACACATGGTGCTCTAAAAATGTGTTTTGTACTTAAAACTTATTGAAAAGTTTTGTTGCTAAAAAATCACAACTGTTAATCAGAGTATTTCATGTTGGAGATTTGAAGTTTCAATATTTGTTAAGTACTACTAGTAAAAAACGTTGTAATACTTTCCAGATATCGACATGAAGTTATTTATTATAAAGAGAAGTTACTCATGTTTGGTGGTGGAGCAGGTGTCAATTATTCTGCATTTAATCTCGATAAGGTCAGTATGTCGAATGTTTCTATATTTATAAAACCCCTTCAAGATTTCTTCCCGGTATGTAATAAATCTGTTTGTTGTAAACTAATGAAACTTTTACAACTTATAGTGTCTTCATTCCTCAGTCTTATTGGGTAACCATTTGCGATAGTTTGATAGAATTCTAAAACATTTACCATTTTGTCTACAGAACCTAGCCATAAGTTTATAACATATATGTATAAATATTCACATGTTTAGTGGCATTTGTGTTATATTCTCGGAAAGCACAAAATCTTTACTTACCTATCTGTATTTTATGTTCGTCTACTATTTAATGTGATCTTTACCGCTGTGTAAACTCTTTATTGTTTAAGTGTAAACTTTTTATTATTAAAGAAATTTAAACAGACACTATATGATTTAAACTTTCACAAAGACGAGAAATTTTCCAAACACCAAGTCAGCGGAAAACTTGATTTGATTGGGGGTTTTTCTTCTTGAAGATTAAAATCATGTTATTATATTTTGCTTGTTTTTGAGTTGTTTTCCAGTGATTTAATGTAAAATTGATTATTTCCTTAGATTGATGTTTTTGACCTGGATAAACAAACTTGGGAAAAAGTCATGACATTTCCAAGTGAACAAAAATTAGGCCAGGGAGATTCGAAAAAAGGTATTTGTGTTCTTTAATAATCTTTTGTTAGGGAATGTTTTACTCAATTTTCTTAGAATTTTGATTCATGTTGATTGAATAACAGGGACACTTTTTAGCACGACTATTCGATAAGAATAAGTAGAGCTCTTGTAGTGACCCGAGCGTCTGCGTCGGCATAACCACTTATGTTAAAGTTTTTGAAATAGTTCAAATATTTTAAAAGTCCATTGACATATGGCTTTGAAACTTTGCACACTTGTTCACCATCATGACCCCAACCTGTAAACAGGAGGAGGTAACTCTATCAAGCATTTTGACAGATATATGCTCCTTTTTCGACTTAGAATTTACGTTAAAGTTTTTGTAATACCTCAAATATTTACAAAGCTTTTGACATATGGCTTTGAAACTTTGCACACTAGTTCACCATCATGACCCCAACCTGTAGACAGGAGGAGGTTACTCTATCAAGCATTTTGACAGAATTATGCCCCTTTTTCGACTTAGAATTTACGTTACAGTTTTTGTAATACCTCAAATATTTTCAAAGTCAATTGACATATGGCTTTTAAAAGTTTGCACACTTGTTCACCATCATGACCCCAACCTGTAGACAGGAGGAGGTTACTCTATCAAGCATTTTGACAGAATTATGCCCCTTTAACGACTTAGAATTTAAGTTAAAGTTTTTGTAATACCTCAAATATTTTTCAAAGTCCATTGACATATGGCCTTAAAACTTTGCATGTACTTGTTGACCATCATGACCCCAACCTGTAAACAGGAGGAGGTAACTCTATCAAGCATTTTGACAGAATTATGCCCCTTTTTCGACTTAGAATTTACGTTAAAGTTTTTGTAATACCTCAAATATTTTCAAAGTTCATTGACATAAGGCTTTGAAACATGTTGAAATTTTAAACTCTTCTTTGAGAGCATAATAGGACTCTCTCCAATGCCTATAACTGTAATATGGATTTAAAGAAAATTTTTGCCTTTTTCTTTACTGAGAAAATTTTACCTTTTAATCAAGGCTTTTTTTACTATCAAGCACTAAGAATAGTCGAGCGTTGCTGTCCTACCGACAGCTCTTGTTGTTAAATTTCTGTTCAGACATTACCAAAACATTGTGGATAATTGATTGTATAGCTTTTTAGATGTATTTAGTATATGTATCCAGCTTTATTTGGGTCCCTATAGCCGAGTTGTTAATGTGCTGACCTTCACTTTTCCAAAACTACGCTTGATTCAAGTTCTCCATTTATTATACATTCTGTCGTGTAGGGAAGCTAATCCAGTTACCTTTCAGAAGTTCTGTGGTTCTATTCATGTACCTGTTGCTGCCTTAAGTAATATATGAAAGGACTTCAGAGGTCTCCCTCTACCAGTAAAGCTTGGAAGTTACTGTAAAACCCCATTAACCTTAACAATTATGATGAGACTTAAAACCCAGCAAAAAAGGCTGCTTTGAAAGTACACAAATGTGCTATTTTGGACCTTTTAAGTATGTTTTCTTCATCAATGGCTGTTAAAAAAATCAACCGTCTTGATCAAGACAGTCTTGAATGATATAGACCTGTTTTCTGTTGTTATTATTAGAAAATAATTCTGTTGATATTATTAGAAAATAACCATTTTTATCATATTTTTATATAACAGTTTTCCCAGGCTGTAGAAGATGTCACAGTTGTGTGAGATTTAAAGATGGTAAGGAATTATAAAAAATTTAGTAAATAAAATGATTTGATGTTTAACGCTTGAAATTTCTTAAATTATCATTCTGTAAATTTAGTTTAAATACTTTTATTTTAGCTGGATTGCCATTCAATCTTGAAGCATACTTGAACCCCTCTTGAGCTGCTACCTGAAACTAACCAGTACTGTCCTTGAGGTTATAAAATTTATTTCTGAATTTCTGTCAGTGAATTCTGTGTCAAATCTCAGGATTTTCACTGGTCAGTGTACATTCTAAGCTGGTTTCTGACCAGTCATATACCCGAGTTTGAGCTGGGGAAAAAATCCAAGTCATACTGCTAAGTTTAGTTATTAGTCCCCTACCGGTTTAACCGGAGGGGACTTTAGGTTTACCCTCCGTCCGTCTGTCCGTCTGTCTGTCTGTCCGTCTGTCCATCTGTCTGTCTGTCTGTCTGTCAGTCCGTCCGTCCACAAAACTGGATCCCGCGATAACGCAAAAAGTACTGAAAATATTTTTATGAAACTTGATATATGGATAGATGGCAGTATGGAGATTATGCACGTCTTTTTTTTTCTTCCTATGTTGAAAATTCTGGTTGCTATGGCAACAAATAGGCTGAAATTATGGCAAATTTAACACATAAACTGGATCCAGTGATAACTCAAAAAGAACTGAAAATATTTTTATGAAACTTGAAATGTGGGTAGATGGCAGTCTGGAGATTATGCACATCTTTTTCTTTTCTTCCTATGTTGAAAATTCTGGTTGCTATGGCAACAAATAGCCTGAATTTCAAGATTTCTGATTTAAATTTTTCAGCTTTTTCACTATATGTTCTTTATTTCTTAAGGTGTTTACTTCAAACTTTAAATATAAGTTTCTGGTCATCAACCACATCATATGTGACAAGGTTTATAACTCTAGCACAAAAAATATCAGTATTACCTCCCTTGAACTTAGATTTTTTAGGGGAAAAAATGTTGTCTTTTTAAATAACTTCTTTATTTCCTAATGTATCTACTTCAAACTTCATATATATGTTTTCTTATTATCACTCGACATTTTTGAGAAGGTTAAATACTCTAGCAAGACTATTTCCAGAATTATGTCCCCTTGAACTTAGATTTTTTTCGAGAAACTGGTATTTTCACTCCAACTTCTTCATTCCTTATAGGATTTACTTTAAAATCCCACATCGTAATAATATGACAAGGTTGTATAAACATAATTTCCTTACTAAGCATGGAAACTTAACACATTACTGTGATATAGACAAACTTATTTATTATGTTTTGTGGTTGATATTTTCAAATACAGACTTCATCCTCAAATTCATTATAAATGGCAATACACAGGAGTGTATGACAATTAAAGAACTTTTTGAGGGACCGGTAGGGGACTACTGTATTGCCCGCAATACTATCAAATGCTTGTCTAAAAAGTGTTTCAGCATATATTCAGTACAAATATTGTATATCATTAGTTTAAATGCAGAATTTTTTAATTTGATTTTATTTAATTGTAAGCAGATAGTGGGGACGTCTGTGGCTTAGTAGTTCATGACTTTGTGTCAAAATCCTGGCAGGGACTATGGATTCTTTCATGTGAGGAAGCTATCCAGCTAGCTAACGAAACGTCAGTGGTTCTACCCAGGTCGGGGTTCGTGCCTGAAATAATGCATGGAGGGGCACCAGAGGTCTTCCTCCACCTGTAATTTTAAATAATTAAAACATATTTACTTTGTGTGAAGACAAAACATGTTAATTTTGTATTTACAAAGTTACTGTGTAGCAATTATCATTATTTTCTAATATCAAATTTGAGCATAGTATACCTTAAATTCTAATCTATTCTATTTGAGCAGATGTGTTTGTATCAAGCGGGCTTTCACCAGATGGTATTCTAGAAGATATGTGGAGATTTCATCTTCCTTCATATCAGTGGACGGCTTTAGAAGTGCCTTTACCTAAACCCGTCTATTTTCATTCTGCTGCAGTTACAAACGTAAGCTGTAATTTTTTACTTAACATTTTTATCATCTGCAGGGCCGGAAAAATCTGTTTTGATTAATTTTTCCATTTTTATCTGAAGCATTTCTTAACTTGTCCATATGATATTTATATAGAACTGGTATTTTCTTGAAAATTTACATTTGTCCGTATAGGCTATGGAACAATCTGGACAATTGATTTTACCACCCTTGTCATCTTTGCATGTATTGATATACAAGGCATATTGTTTAAGTCTCATCTGTTTTATCTTTACTTTGACATGGACCAGTCAACAATGTTATTTTTAGCTCACCTGACCACAAAGTGGTCAAGGTGAGGTATAGTGATGGGGCTATGTCCGGCGTCCGTCGTCGTGCGTCGTGCGTCGTCAACAATTGGGTTGTTAACAGTCTAGCAGTCACAGTTTTGATTGGATCATCATCAAACTTTGTCAGAATGTTTGTCTCAATGAAATACAGATCGAGTTCGAAGATGGGTTATCTCGGGTCAAAAACTAGGTCACAGGAGCTAAAAATAGAAAAAAGCTTGTTAACACTCTAGAGGCTGCAGTTTTCATCCAAATATTCTGGAAATTTGTCAGGAAGGTTGTTTTGATGATATCTAGGTCAAGTTCGAAGATTGGTCATCTCTGGTCAAAAACTAGGTCACGAGCTAAAAATAGAAAAAGCTTGTTAACACTCTAACAATTGGGTTGTTAACAGTCTAGCAGTCACAGTTTTGATTGGATCATCATCAAACTTTGTCAGAATGTTTGTCTCAATGAAATACAGATCGAGTTCGAAGATGGGTTATCTCGGGTCAAAAACTAGGTCACAGGAGCTAAAAATAGAAAAAGCTTGTTAACACTCTAGAGGCTGCAGTTTTCATCCAAATATTCTGGAAATTTGTCAGGAAGGTTGTTTTGATGATATCTAGGTCAAGTTCGAAGATGGGTCATCTCTGGTCAAAAACTAGGTCACAAGTTAAAAATAGAAAAAGCTTGTTAACACTCTAATAATTGGGTTGTTAACAGTCTAGCAGTCACAGTTTTGATTGGATCATCATCAAACTTTGTCAGAATGTTTGTCTCAATGAAATACAGATCGAGTTCGAAGATGGGTTATCTCGGGTCAAAAACTAGGTCACAGGAGCTAAAAATAGAAAAAGCTTGTTAACACTCTAGAGGCTGCAGTTTACATACAAATATTCTGGAAATTTGTCAGGAAGGTTGTTTTAATGATATCTAGGTCAAGTTCGAAGATGGGTCATCTCCGGTCAAAAACTAGGTCACAGGAGCTAAAAATAGAAAAAGCTTGTTAACACTCTAGTGGCTGCAGTTTTCATCCAAATATTTTGGAAATTTGTCAGGAAGGTTGTTTTGATGATATCTAGGTCAAGTTCGAAGATGGGTCATCTCCGGTCAAAAACTAGGTCACAGGAGCTAAAAATAGAAAAAGCTTGTTAACACTCTAGTGGCCGCAGTTTTTATCCAAATATTCTGGAAATTTGTCAGGAAAGTTATTTTGATGGTTTCTAGGTCAAGTTCAAAGATGGGTCATCTCCGGTCAAAAACTAGGTCACAGGAGCTAAAAATAGAAAAAGCTTGTTAACACTCTATAGGCTGCAGTTTTCATCCAAATATTCTGGAAATTTGTCAGGAAGGTTGTTTAGATGATATCTAGGTCAAGTTTGAAGATGGATCATGTCTGGTCAAAAACTAGGTCACAGGAGCTAAAAATAGAAAAAGCTTGTTAACACTCTAGTGGCTGCAATTTTCATCCAAATATTTTGGAAATTTGTCAGGAAGGTTGTTTTGATTTTATTTAGGTCAAGTTCGAAGATGGGTCATGTCTGGTCAAAAACTAGGTCACAGGAGCTAAAAATAGAAAAAGCTTGTTAACACTCTATAGGCTGCAGTTTTCATCCAAATATTCTGGAAATTTGTCAGGAAGGTTGTTTAGATGATATCTAGGTCAAGTTTAAAGATGGATCATGTCTGGTCAAAAACTAGGTCACAGGAGCTAAAAATAGAAAAAGCTTGTTAACACTAGTGGCTGCAGTTTTCATCCAAATATTCTGGAAATTTGTCAGGAAGGTTGCTTAGATAATATCTAGGTCAAGTTCGAAGATGGGTCATCTCCGGTCAAAAACTAGGTCACAGGAGCTAAAAATAGAAAAAGTTTGTTAACACTCTAGTGGCTGCAGTTTTCATCCAAATATGCTGGAAATTTGTCAGGAAGGTTGTTTTGATGATATCTAGGTCAAGTTGGAAGATGAGTAATGTCCGGTCAAAAACTAGGTCACAGGAGCTAAAAATAGAAAAAGCTTGTTAACACTCTAGTGGCTGCAGTTCTCATCCAAATATTCTGGAAATTTGTCAGGAAGGTTGTTTTGATGATATCTAGGTCAAGTTGGAAGATGGGTCATGTCCGGTCAAAAACTAGGTCACAGGTGCTAAAAATAGAAAAAGCTTGTTAACACTCTAGTGGCTGCAGTTTTCATCCAAATATTTTGGAAATTTGTCAGGAAGGTTGTTATGATGATTTTCAGGTCAAGTTCGAAGATGGGTTATCACCGGTCAAAAACTAGGTCACAGGAGCTAAAAATAGAAAAAAGCTTGTTAACACTAGTGGCTGCAGTTTTGATTAAAATATTCTGGAAATTTGTCAGGAAGGTTGTTTTAATGATTTCTAGGTCAAGTTCGAAGATGGGTCATGTGTGGTCAAAAACTAGGTCACAGGAGCTAAAAATAGAAAAAGCTTGTTAACACTCTAATGGTTGCAGTTTTCATCCAAACATTCTGGAAATTTGTCAGAAAGGTTGTTTTGATGATTTCTAGGTCAAGTTCGAAGATGGGTCATCTCAGGTCAAAAACTAGGTCACAGGAGCTAAAAATAGAAAAAGCTTGTTAACACTCTAATGGCTGCAGTTTTCATCTAAATGTTCTGGAAATTTGTCAAGAAGGTTGTTTTGATGATATCTAAGTCAAGTTCGAAGATGGGTCATCTCCGGTCAAAAACTAGGTCACAGGAGCTAAAAATAGAAAAGCTTGTTAACACATTAGGGGCTGCAGTTTTCATCCAAATATTCTTGAAATTTGTCAGGAAGGTTGTTTTGATGATGTCTAAGTCAAGTTCGAAGATGGGTTATCTCTGGTCAAAAACTAGGTCACAGGAGCTAAACATAGAAAAAGCTTGTTAACACTCTAGTGGCTGCAGTATTGATTCAAATATTCAGGAAATTTGTCAAGAATGTTGTTTTGATGTTTTCTGGGTCAAGTGCTAAGATTGGTCATGTCTGGTCAAAAACTAGGTCACAGGAGCTAAAAATAGAAAAATCTTTTTAACACTCTAGTGGCTGCAGTTTTGATCCAAATTTCCTGGAAATTGGTCAGGAAGGTTGTTTTGATGATTTCTAGGTCAAGTTTGAATATGGGTCGTGTCCAGTCAAAAATTAGGTCACATTGCCCAAATATGGAAAAATCTTTATAACACACTAGAGGTCACATGTTTGACTCAGTCGCATCAAACTTGGTCATGATGCTTGTTTAAGACATTGCTTAGATGCGGTTGTGTCAGGTGAGCGATCCAGGGCCATCATGGCCCTCTTGTTTATGCTTTCTAAAATATTTCCACGAAAGTCAAAAATGCATTTTCCTTTAAGCCAGGTTGCCATTTTGACAAAGCAATACCTAGAAGCATCAAACTAAATAAAGATTGGGAGGTGTTAATAGCATGCAGTAGATAATATTAAGCTCCCAATGAGCACAATTTAATTTTGGGTAAAAATCATGAGTCTACTAATAGCATGCCTGCAAAAGCTGAAAATAAGAAAAAATTTCAAATCATATCTTATTAACATAACAATAGGGTGGATTTGAATGATAGAACCTACCCTTATCTTTTATTGTAAATTCTGTTGTGTTTCAGGATGGGTGTATGTTTATATTTGGAGGAGTGACCAGAATTGATGATCAGAGAACCAATGCCTTACAGATCATGTGGGTTCAGATACCACCACTGAAACTCTTGGCCTTTAACACTGTGGTGAAGAGTTTAAATCTTGAAATCTGTAAACAGGACTACCAGACTTTAATAGCTCTCGGAATACCAAGACACTGTCTGGATTTAATCTTGTGATGATAGTTGATAGGGTACACAAAAAAAACATTTTCCCCAATTTTATGTAAAAAAAAGTCCCAAGTGTAACTATGCAGTATGGGGTTGATACTCTAGCCAATAATTAACAAGTGTTTTTAGCTCGACTATTCGATAAGAATAAGTAGAGCTATTGCAGTCACCCGAGCGTCGGCATCGGCGTAACCACTTATGTTAAAGTTTTTGTAATAGTTCAAATATTTTCAAAGTCCATTGACATATGGCTTTGAAACTTTGCACACTTGTTCAACATCATGACCCCAACCTGTAACCAGGAGGAGGTAACTCTATCAAGCATTTTGACAGAATTATGCCCCTTTTTCGACTTAGAATTTACGTTAAAGTTTTTGTAATAGTTCAAATATTTTCAAAGTCCATTGACATATGGCTTTGAAACTTTGCACACTTGTTCACCATCATAACCCCAACCTGGAAACAGGTGGAGGTAACTCTATCAAGCATTTTGACAGAATTATGCCCCTTTTTCGACTTAGAATTTACGTTTAAGTTTTTGTAATAGTTCAAATATTTTCAAAGTCCATTGACATATGGCTTTGAAACTTTGCACACTTGTTCACCATCATGACCCCAACCTGTAAACAGGAGGAGGTAACTCTATCAAGCATTTTTTTTACTATCAAGCACTAAGAATAGTCGAGCGTTGCTGTCCTTCCGACAGCTCTTGTTGTGAATGGTAGGGAGCCTCATTAAAAGATTCTTCTTGCATAATTATATTATTGAACAAGAACATGACTTGAAACCATGTTTTCAGCTGTTCTGGATTAGCTTTTAGCAGTTCAGCTTGGTTGACAATCAGTTGGCTCCATATATACAATTACTTCCATGGACAGCTCCCCTATTGTTTTGATATTTTGATCATTTGTTGCTAATTTATGGCTGTGTTTGTTAGAGATTTTTTCCCCGCATTTATGTAAGTGATATTGGCAGAAAACCTGATTTGTTAAGATTTTATGTCAGTTGATATAATGTCTGAATTAATTACATAAAATGATTTTTATTTATAAAGGTTTATTTGTAAATATTTGGGTTATAACCTCATATCTAAAGGTTATAAATATTTCTGTATTAAAATGAAATATGTAGTTATGAAAATACATTCAAGTACATATGCTCGGCAAGGGTAAACAAAACACATGTACACAAAATGTGGAATTCACAAGTCAATGTAAATGTTAATGAATTGTTACCTCACCAGAGCCGAAAGCTCAGGGTGAGCTATTAGTATCAAAGGGGGATGCTCCGGCGTCCGTCGTCATGCGTCAACAATCATCTTCTTCTCTGAAACTACAAAGCAGATTTACTTCAAATTTGGTCTGTAGCATCCTTGTGACAGTCACACTTGAATTTGCTCATGTCATTCCAATTGGCCCCTTTTAGGGGTCAGCAGAGCTGAAAATAGAAAAACCTGTTAAACATCTTCTTCTACAGAACTAATTGATGGATGATCACCAAACTTTGTCTGTAGCATTCTTGGGTAGTCTTTTATCAAGTTTGCTCATTTAA